TGATTAGCATTATTCACTATGGATGTGATGTGCAACGGCTGGCCTGCATGTTTCCCACTGCCATCCTTTGTGCTTAATCAAATGTTTGTTTCTTCTGTTAGTCGCTAACTTATGGCAATAAAAATGAGATAAGTACTCGCCCTTTTGTCTGGTGTGGCTGTTGGGGGAAGTCATGAGTCTTTATCTACCTTTTTTGAAATCAAGTATCAAACAGGAAGATGATTTTTATATAATTTTTTTTGTTTCATTTTTTTTTATAATTTGACTTGTTATTTAAATTATTGATTTTTTTAATTTATATGAAACTAATAATATTAAATATATTTATTAATTTAATAATATATGATAATTATATAAAAAAATTATCACTGTAACATAATCCTACAAATATTATTTGTGGCAGCTAACCTCTATCAAAAAATGCACACTCCCACTATAATCCTATTGAGGTTCGTTTCCCAAGTTGTTCTTTTTCTTTTTGCCTTTTGGGCCGAAAATGGTGAGACCAATTTATCACTCAAGCCCATATCAAATAAGATGCTATAAGGCTTGCTAGGGTGGTAATTAGTAAATGCTAGTTTGTTTGTTAACATCTCTCCACTCCACTATTAAATTTGTTTGTAGTAACATATATTTTTTAATGGATACTTTTGTCAATATAAATAAAAAAATCTTGTGCATAAAAAATAATAATAATAGTAATCTTAACCGATAGATAGCAATTCAGTGTGAAAAACTATATTAACTAATTATTAATTTAAAACCACTAAATTAAAAAATTTATTTTATAACAATTTCAAATTAAATAAATTTATCAAACACCTATTTAACAAACATTTGAATAAAACTACTAACAACTAATCTTGAGTTACTATACTGGACGAGTTCTTAATAACTTTAAAGATTAGATTTACTAATAAATAAGTGTTGTCTTATAAATAAAGTTTAGGATTTAGATTTTCATGTTAGCACTCAAAGAAATTAATTTTCTTGAATGTAATAAGTCGATATAAAAAGTACATACTACAAGGAAACGGGTTAACTGTGACAGGAAAATTAGTCATAAAAATTGATTTTTTTGATCACAAATTATATTTGTATCTAAAATTTGGTTGGTCACTGTCCGTTACAAATATTGAGTCACTAAAAGTAATAGTAACTAATTTTGGATTCGTGACAACAAATCATGATTTTAGTTACGGTGAAGATGGACACAATTACTATTGTATTTGTAATGAATTTTTGCGTCACAATGATGACTATTTGTGACAAAATAATTAGACACAAAAAGGAACCTCATTTGTAACATGTATAACTCGTCACAAAAGAAATTGTTTGTGACATAAAATTTGGTTACTAATATTAAATCATTTGTGACGTTTCCTTTTAATCACAACTAGAATTATCTGTGACTATAAAAAATGAAACAAATACTATCATGTTGATCACAATTAGGTTTATTTGTGACCCAAAAACTTGTTACAACTATTATTATCAATGACAAAACAAAAATGTCACAAATTGAATGTGTGACAGAATTTTTAGTCTTAAAAAAACATATCCCAAAAAATAAAAAAAGGGCATTTTTGAAAATTCAATAAACACTAGTATTCAATGATTTCGTTACTAGAATAACAACTATGAAATAGTCTCTTACAAAATTAGTCACTAAGAATTAAGTATCATAATTGAATAAAAATAAAA